TTCCACTAGACTTTGAGTTGGTTACAAAGGACTGAATCACCTCCAAGGGTGATCAGGTTACAATCAGTTACTTAAGTAAGACGTCAGGTCTTTGGGAGGACGTAGGGACTGAATGTCGGGTCCTGAGTAAGACGTCGGGTCTTCGGCAAGACGTAGGGACTGAGTGTCGGGCCTTGAACAGGACGTAGGGACCGAGTGTCGGGCCTTGAACAGGACGTAGGGACCGAGTGTCGGGCCTTGAACAGGATGTCGGGTTTTCGGCAGAAGGTAGGGACTGAGTGTAGGGCCTTGAACAGGACGTCGGTTCTTTGGCAGGACGTCGGGTCTTCAGTAGGACGTAGGGACTGGACGTCAGGCCTTAAGGTGGTGGTCTGGCGAGGTTCTGCGGTGGTCCGGCGAGGTTCCTGCGGTGATCCGGCGGTGGTCCGGCGAGGTTTCTGCGGTGGTCCGGCGGTGGTCCGGCGAGGTTCTGTGGTGGTCCGGCGATGGTCCGGCGAGGTTCTGTGGTGGTCCGGCGGTGGTCCGGCGGCTGTCGAGGAGGAGCTCCTTCCTTCTCTTCTTCCTCTCTTCTCTTCTTCTCTCTCTTCTCTTCTTCTCTCTCTTGCTTAGATGCTCTCTTGTGAAGAATGAGGGCTCTATTTATAGATTTACTGGAGTGGCATGGTCCGTAAATAGGTGTGAGATCAAGGGCGAATAGGGAGTGGTCAAATGGACGGCCGATATTGAATCCTACGATCGTGCACCGTTCGTTGGACATTTGGAGGCCTTAATGATGTCGGAATTTAGTGATCTTGGGCTCGTTGGATTCGTCTCGTCGATCCGTTCGATTCGAGTATAAGCTCGTCAAAATCGAAGACCGTTTGGTAACTCAAATTGCGGTTTGAACCTTCCGACAGCGCTTTGAACTCTTGATTCGGACTTATTTGGGCTCGGATTGGGTCGATCTTGGTGTTGTTGGGTTCGTATTTCCGAGACGCTCAGTTTGACTGTAAGCTCGTTGAAATCGGAGTTCGGATGCTCCCGGATTTAATTTTTGAAGTCTCCAACTAGTTTTTGCCTCGAGATTCGTGCCGGATCAAGCTAATTTTGTGATGACATATCAATGATAGCTTTTAAAATTAGGGATACATGTCTCTTATATAAAATATGTATATAATGATTATACGATGCAATAAGTGAATATCATGAGGATAAACTTTATAAAATTATAATTAGATAATCTTGTTAATCGTGTGTTGGGAGATTAAGAAAGCAAAAGTAGCAATTTAAGTTTGACAAAAATGGTATTATGAAGGATAATTCAACAATGTAGTTAAAATTTTTTTTTTTATAGGATTTTGAAATAATAAGATAATGTAAAATGATTGAAAAAAGAATTTTAATGTTCACATATAAAAATAAAAGCTTTAAGATAGAGGAGCGGAGTATAAACTAATAAAAATTACATAAATTTTAGATAACTAATTTATTTCATATCACTAATGAAATCAATTTTTTTATGTCAATACAATTGAATAGAATTATAGAGTTAAGAAATGGCACTCATATAATTTTTATTGATATTAAGTTGCCATATAATATATGATAGAATTTTAATAAGTGATTCCTTCTAAATAAGTAAGAAAATTAAATAAAAAAATAATTAGAAGATAAAGGTATTAGAATTGGCAGAATAAAGACATATATGATATGTATATTTAGTGAGAGATGTAAGCAATTAGAAGATAAAATGATATTTATGTAAATATATTTACAAAAGAATGGTTGAACTTCAGAAGTTCTTCACAAGTTGTGCAATAAAACGATAGAATAGAGGCATAAAGATAAATTTTATAAAAGAATAATTAAGTTAGAAATGTTGTTTGCATCTAAATGTTCATTATAAAAAAAAATTATTATTATCTAATTAAGTTGAGTGTAGAAAAAATAAAAGGGTATTTACGCACAAATCACTTAAAAAATCTATATTTATATATCTTAAACCTAAATTTTCATATTTTCTTATTTACTTATATACTCCTAAAACTTTTTAACACCTCAGTTATACCAATCTATTTCCACTTTGTCATCTTCTTTCTTAAAATCTTCGTTAATTTTGTGAACGGGGCTATTCTCACCTACCTTCACTCTTCGTTGTCGACTCCACCATCGCCTTATTTGCTTCAAAACTCCTCACCATTCTCAATTAAATTCTAGAGGCAGCTAAAGACCCTTTAGTTAAGGCTGACAAAAACAATTTCGAACTTGATATTTAAATCCTCAAGTCATTCTTGGGGCTGTGAGAGTAGCAAGTGTAATATTCGTCATCTGAATTTTTTTTTATTAATGATAATTAATTTTAAGGTAATTAGTAATTATGAGTCCTAAAATGCTTAATGAGATTGAAAATGACCAAGGTTTGGGGTCTGAGAAATGAAAATCGAAAATATGAAAATTCTGTATGGGCACCGTGGTGATAGTTTAGTCGATGCTTCGGCTTTGAGCTTTCGGATTTTTGGACAAAAAAATTGGTTTTAGGGTGCATCGTAATGCTTAGGAAGTGCCTCTGTGGCGTGTGGTCTTAGGTGAGGATATTTTGGGAGGATCTAGAAGATTCTTTGAAAGCGTAGAGGCACTCGGTTAAACTAGTGGACTTTAAAATATTTCAAATCATTAAGCCATTCCCATTCCACTCAACCATTGCCATAGAAGAAGAAAGGAGGAGGAGAAGTGGAAAGAGGAGAGAGAGAGAGAGAGAGAGAGAGAGAGAGAGAGAGAGAGAGAGAGATCAAAACTTGGGATTTATCCATCAAGCCAACCAGTTTAGGATATTATAGAGCTCGAGGTACTCCTATCCCTTTTTTTGCATATTTTTGTAAAACTATGGTACTCCTATCCCCTTATCTCTTATTTAAGTTCCAGTAAGATTATAAGAATACATGAATTAAAAATATATATTTTCTCATATTTTCCCTTAGAAATAAGATGGAGGGGTGTTTATTTTCCTCCCACCAATTTTGAACACCTCCCAATGGACACAAAGGAATTCCAAAAAAGATTTGGCAAATCTAAATTGAAAAATGGTCAATTTAATGATGATATATATATAAGAGTATAAATCGTATACATGAACATTTCAAATTCACTTGAATGTTATATTAATCATCCATAAGATTGTCTGTGCAATATATAATGATTAATAATATACACAGTTTCCCATACTTATGTCACATCATATGACAAATATGATCTCTATTTACAACACCTCATAGATCTCCTCCTTGATTCCGATCAAACTTTTCCTCTTCATCATCGCCGCTAATGAGAACCATAAGCATCCTTGCAATTTTGTCACCAGCTTTAAATTAAACCAGATCGACTCTTTGTTATAATTGTGCTTCCTCGTCCTATTCGTCATCTAAGCTACGAAAAAGGATGAATATTCCCGTTTGACCAAAATTTGTTTACGTTAATCATTGACAAGAACCCGCTCATACAAATCTCTGTCTCATATCTACCATACGAATTCTGGCAAGGTTGAGACCGAGCAAATCAATTCGTGCAGCTTTCCAATTTTGGAGGATGGTAATTTTTTGCTTGCATCTATTCATTCACCTCATCATCTCCTCTGGCATCTAAAGTGGCCTTCTTGCTTCATTGTTGTTCTTCCATTTCCTCTCTTATCATTTGCCTCTAACGTGTTTTGATTTTCTTATAAATATCCATTTCTACTTTTTTTAGGGAGTATTGACATCTTATAAGCTCGATTACTCTAGCGTTTAAAGCTATTAAAGCTGATATTATTTAACTCTAACAACTTAAATGATTGTACTCATTTTTTTTAATTGTAGACAAATAACCTATTCTACTTATTTTACTTTGACTTATTGATGGAGCCACATAATGTTTGTAATAGTTCACATATTGCTTATATTTACTCTTATTCATGCAATCTATATAATATTTTATTACGTGCATAGTTTAAAGGCTCTATTTTATAGGCATAATAGAAAGAAAACTTAATCCAAAGGCATCATACAGAAAATTAGAAAACAGAAAAATAATGGGCCATATTAATTGATTCAAACACAATAACTTTAGTATGAAAATAACTTATTTGATCTTGATTTATTAATATAGTAAGATAGGAAAAAATATTAAATGAGCATTAAAATAACCTGTATAAATCTTAAGCTCATATAAAAAAATTAATGATACGCTTAATCATTAATTTTTGCCTCAGGCAAAAAGATTTTTTTTTTTAATTATGCCCTATCTATATTATTTTCTTGAACCACTGAATCCATATATTTATTAGAGGTGTCAATTTCGGGTCACGGGTCGAACTCGGAACTGACCCGGGTTCAATATCGGGTAGACTCTAACCCGAACCGGGTAGGCAAACGGATCGGAAACTTGGACCCGGACCGGACCCGACACGGGATGTTGCGCGCGCAGGCGGGACGCGGGCTCGCCAACTCGGGCGCGCAAGCAATCGTGCAGGCAGGCGGGACGCGGGCTAGGGCAGCGCGGGCGCGAGCGGGTAGGGTGGTTGCATGCTGACAACGCGGGCGCGACTCGCGAGCGGTGGGAATTTTGATATTTAGGTGATAATTTGTTAAATAGAGAAAGAAGACTTCTTGTTTTATAAATAGCTAAGATTTTAATATTATATATGTAATGACCCAAAAAATAAATGGGGGATTTACAAACATATCACATAACTCTTGTATAATTATATATTAAGCAAGTAAATTTTTGTTTAGTATATTACCCGTAATCCTTAAATCATATAAAAGTATTATTAATATTAATTTTTTATAATAAATTATCTATATGTTCATGTTTTTTAATATTAAAATATTATATAAATAAATATAATATTTAAACATTGGAAATAGTAATACATAAAAATTATGTGGATTTTGATGGTCTGGAAAGGATTGGGCGTGAGCACTAATGGTGAAATACGCGGCACTGCGAAATAGTTCAGTCAACTTATGGTGCGCAAGCAAAGCAACCAAGGGTGAAGTCACTTGCAAGAGATTGCCATTTCTCCACTCCCTGCCACACATCGAGCTTCAGCTTATCTCTTTCTTCCAAAAACCGCAGCCCATGTCCCCAAACTCCCAAAGTGCCGCCGCCTATCGCCTCGGAAATGGCCTCCGAAGTCTGGCTGCTGCCTTCACTCTCCCCTCGATTCGTCGCTCGCCCTCTTCTTCCCACTCTCCCCTCACAAAACCTCCACTCCTCTCTCCGGCAGTCTTCTACTTGCCTTCGCTTTCGCTCTCAGCACGGGCAAAGCCGCAAGCTTTTCCTTCTGCGCCCTAGAGCCGCTGAACAGCAAGGTTGCGGATTTGGAACCTATGATTATCTTAATCATGGCTTATTGGAGTTCTGCTTGTGAATGATTTCTGAAGGAAAGAAAAACATGTGTCTGAATGCAGGTAAGGTCCAGGAAGATGAAGTGGTTGATAGCAAAATTCTGCCGTATTGCAGCATAAGCAAGAAAGCGGAGAAGAAGTCAATAGGGGAGATGGAGCAAGAGTTTCTGCAAGCACTACAGGTTTTTTAATTAAATTCTCTACTGTTCCAGTTTCAGATTTAAGCGCTCAGATGAAATTTTGTTCCTCATACGAATCCTCTCTTCTTTCTTTCTTATGTTCAGTCGTTCTATTATGATAATGAAGCCATTATGTCAAATGAGGAATTTGATAATCTCAAGGAAGAACTGATGTGGGAGGGAAGCAGCGTAGTCATGTTGTGTATGCCTTTTATTCCCTCTGGGTGTCAATTTTTTCAGTGCTCCTGCAGTTCTAGAAGAATATTTGAGTTTTAATATTGGTATGGATTTTTTTGGATGTCTTATTGAGCAGCCTCGGATGAACAAAGGTTTCTGGAAGCATCGATGGCTTATGTGTCTGGAAATCCAATACTGTCAGATAAAGAATTTGATGCGTTGAAGCTCAGGCTTAAGGTCTGTATGCTATGAACTTCTTATACTTTCTGGATCCGAAAGTTTAGAGAGTCGTGCATTGAAAAGAATTTCACTTCCTAATCAATTTTAAAAATTTGCACCTCACCACGTTAAGTTCTTCAAACTTAGCCTCTCTTTGTTGCAGTGGGGTGGTCTTCACCCTGCTGTGCAATCGCTCTACAACCTAGCCATGCTTTCTCACTGTTCACGTATCATTTAGGAGATCAACTTCATAAGCTGGCCTGCAAAAACTACTTTTAAGCAAATTGGACAACTAAGCTTGTTGCCAGTGCGTCTTCTATTAGTTACAGTCCTCTTTACTTTCAGCCAGTCAAATGAAACAGCTCACAAAACGTAGACACTATTTTTTATGAGAAATTATTATGTGCGGTTAGTGCACGCTGTTCAGAGCCCAATGAAAATGCGCCACGTCACTCCCTGTTTGGTACCGCGGCTCAGTTACTGCTCGGTACCACGGCTTAGTGCTGCTCGGTACTGGATGACGTGGCTGCACTTGATTCGCCTTTGGACGGTAAGTTGTGTCTGGTGTCGGCATAGAATAATCTCTTCTTTTTTATGGTTCATATGCCTTCTAGTAGTTATCGAGCAATGATGGGACAATTCCTAACCCAGAGAACTTGTGGCTTAATTCTTTACCTAGAAAAGGATCATTTTATTATTACATTTTTGAATCCTTGAACTGGCTCAAAATATACATCAAATTTTTTTTTTCATTGGGGACCACCAGCTATTCAGGTTCCTTCTACATTTTTATATTTATCCTTACACTTCACTTTGAAGTTCCCTTTCCGTGTCTCATTTTTTTTCATGTTGTAGGGAAGCTAGCCAATAATGATTCTAAAGTCTTGAATTTCTTTATTGGTGAATATAAGCTTGTATGTTCTAAATTCGCCTTTTTTCTGACCACACATTAGCAACAAGGCAGCCGCATTGTACAAGAAGGACCACGTTGTAGTCTCCGAAGCAGAAAGGTACAAACAAGAAACCATTTCCTCTCTACATGTTTTTTGACAAAATTTTTTGTAATATTATTACTTACTTAAATTAGCTGCCATCTTTGCATTTTAACTTCCTTTGATGGAAGATCTGATTGCGTCATTTGCTTCTAAAGTGTTTTTATGTCTTTTGACTTGTGTATCGTAAATATTCCATACATATATGAACTTTTTGTGCGAAGTTAACGGCATGGCTCTGTTTACTTGGTGAAAAGAGGCTTATTACATTTTGCTTCCCCTAATAAGTAGGGTTGAGGGATTTCCATATAAATTTGTGTTGAAGCACTGTAGTGGGTTTGTTTCCATATTTTCTTCTTTGATAGACAAATAGAAACTAATTTTTGGAGACCAATTTTCCCTCTAAAGATACGTACGAAGTCAAAAGAGGTCGTTTGGATATTTAGAGGTTTAAACTAGTTTGTTATTGTGGTTAGATTCACGCAAAATTGCACCTTTTTTGTTGTGAATTTCTACATCCTTAGGTTTCTATAAATAGGATAACTAAGGGGCATATTGCATCAAATATTTTCCCCCTCTTGCCATGGAAAGAAAGAGATGGTTTGGTATTTTTGAAGAAAAAGATAGAGAGAAGGAAATAAAGAAGATAAATAGTGAGAGAGGAAGATAAGAGAGAAAAGAAAGAGAAAGATTGCTTGGCTCTTTTATTTCCAACTTTAGTGAGCTGTTTCAATGTGATTGAAGCACGGTGATGTCATTACATGTGCGCCATAGACAAGTGTGGTAATACCATATCAAGTTTAGTGGTGATAGAAAATCCTTTAGTGTGAACGAGGAATTCTAGTCTAGCTTTTTAGGTATTTTTTGATTTAAATATCTTTACTTCTGGGTGCTGTATTATTCTTCAAAAATATAAACTATTATGATAAAATTTGATGTGCTTGTCGCTTTAATAATGAAAATATTTCTTTGTGTAGCCATGAGCACATGCTAGATGGTCGTGCCAAATCATATAAATTTTATGCCTTTTGTTTTGATTTTGATCTAGTTTTCTTTTCATTCTTGCTTTTACTTTTGTACGATTATTTTCCTAGCAATTGGTATTTTGGGTTGCCATAACTCCATAAGGTTCTAAGGGATAAGTGGGTGCGATGGTCGTTGAGGAAGAAAATGTAGAAACTGATGGGTTCGAGAGAAAAAAATTGGATGTTCAAAGATATAGATTGTGGTCTACATGTACTAGAAGAAACTTCATTTGTCCTTTTTAGAGACCGCCGGCATCTATGCATCAAAAATATTAGGACCTCTTCGGCAGAAATATGTTGGTAGTTGCGGACAATTGGAGTGATGAAAGCGGTTAAGACATATGCAAGAAGCTATTAATAGTAAGCAAGGTATTTAACTATTTATAATGAGAAGATTATTTATTATGAGGATGTGGAAGGTGCTTCTGTGATAAAGCATCTTAACAATTGCAATTTGATGACAAATCATTTGAGTTCTATTGGTATTAACTTTGATGATAAATTTTATTTCTTGAGTTTATTGTCATCACTTTTGAGTAGTTGGTGTAGAAGTATGATCAAGATCGATAGTTTTTATAGCTCCACATAGCTGTAGCTGAAATTCATTGAGATTCATGACTTAGGTTTTAGCAAGGACACTCTAAGATGAGAATTGGGTGAAGATTCCGATGGACCGGCTGATTTAATTGTGAAGAAATTAGATAGTTTCCTAATCAAGAGGGGGACATTTAGGAAGGTTCTTAATCAAAAGGGATTTATTTAGGAAAGTTTTAATTACAATTGGGAGGAAATTATTTATGGTAAGATATCTAATTTGAATTCAAATATCTAAAAGAGAATTATTTAGGAAAATAGAGGATCAACAGAGAATTGTTTAGGAAAGTTTTAATTATAATTGGGAGGGAGTTATTTAGGGCAAGATATTTGATTTGAATTCAAATATGAAAGGGAATTATTTAGGAAAAGAGGGCATATTTAGGAGAGAATTAGGAGAGTTTATTTAACGTTATTAGTACGGTGATTTCAGGATTATGCTTTGAGTTTGCTGAAATAAGGAATTATTAGGTTTTGAGGGCTCTGGCCGCTAGGTAGGGATTTGAGAGAGTCGGATCTTTTTTTCCAATTTAAGATCCAACTATATCTTGCTATTTTCTTTCATATATCTCACCAATAAAAAAGAGTTTTGGTGTGTTCTTCCTAATCTCTTATTATTGTTCGCTGATTTCGAGGAAATTGTATCCACTTTCTATCATATCGGTATCAGAAAGGTGTCCCGTGCTAAAATTTAAGTCCTCGTTGCTGATTTCTGCTGTGTTTTTCTTCCTGTATTGCTGGTTTTCGCCATTTGAAGACTTGATTTGCTAATTTTTTGCGGTTTGGAACCTAGATACGTAAATGATAGCAAATAAGATGGATGCTTTGGAAGGAGAGATGGAACAACTTAGGGTCGACATAGAGGAAAAATATTCGGGAGTGGTAGGAAGTCTCTCATCTATTAAGAACCGCTTTGAGAAAATTGGAGGATATGATGAAGAAGATGATCGAGGCGCGGTCAAAGGTTTCACCGACGATTCCTCGAGCTGAACCAAAGGGAAAAGGAAATTTTGGATGAGATGATGAGAAAGATCATGGAGATGCGATCACCAATGATTCCAATTGCTAATCCTAATCAAGACTTGGACTAGATTTCCTTGGCCGAATCTAAAGGGAAAAAGATCGGACAGGAAGAGTTTGACGAAGAGAGCTCGTTTCATCAAGAGCCACCTCTTAGGACAATCAAAGATTAGAAGGTGAAATTTTGGGGGGAATAAGAGGAGATGCCAACTTTGGTGCCACTTTTAAGGAGGAGAAAGGGTGAAGGAGTGAGATTTTTGATGGAGCTGCAGAGTTTGAAAGGAGAAGAAGATGGAGATAAAATAGAAGCACCAGACATGATTCAACCACTCCTACAGCAGCATCGAAAGGTATTTCAGCTATTTCAGGGGTTGTCTCCTTCGTGTGAACACGAGTATGTTATCATTTTGAAGGAAGAGTCTCACAAATCAGTGTTTGTCTGTACCATTTTCCCAAACACCAGAAGGATGAGATATAGAGATTGGTAAGGGAGATGCTGGAGGCAGTGACCATTTGACCCAGCGACAATCCGTTTTGCAGTCCAGTGCTATCAGTCAAGTGCTTCAACATCAGTTTTTTCTTATCCACCTTGAGAACAAGATGACACTTTGGGAGGGGAGTATTGATGGACGGACCGATTTGATTGAGAAGGAATTAGAAAGTTTTCTAATCAATAGGGAGCTTTTAGGAAGGTTCTTAATCAAAGGGGAATTATTTAAGAAACTTTTAATTACAATTGGAATGGAATTATTTATGGCAAGACATTTAGTTTGAATTCAAAAATCTAAGAGGGAATTACTTAGGGAAACAGAGGATCAAGGGGAAATTATTTAGGAAAGTTTTAATTATAATTGGGAGAGAATTATTCAGGGCAGGCGATCTAATTTAAATTCTAATATGAGAAGAAATTATTTAGGGAAAGATGGATGTTTTTGGAGGGAATTAAGAGAGCTTATTTAAGGCTAACAATAGGGTAATTTCAACTTTGTTTTTTGAGTTTGCTGAAATTTGAATTTTTTAGGTTGTGAGGGCTCTAGTTGTCTGCTAGGATTTGAGAGAGTTGGATCTTCCTCTCCAATTGAAGATCAAACTGTATCTTGCTGTTTTATTTCATATACCTTGCAATAAAAGTGTTTTGGTGTGTTATTCTACATAATTTTTTATTGTCGTTCGCTGATTTCGAGGAAATTGTAACTACTTCCTAGCAGATTCTTCTTCTTTTGTCTTGTAATTTGAAATTAGAGGAAGAATTGTGAAGAAAGGGTATAATATAGGGAAATCCAAATATTAAAGAAGCATAACAATTGAAGAAGTTATTCCAAAAGTTGCAATGTTGTATCGGGGGATGTATCATTTATGCCTATTTTTGAGTATGACTAATAATTTTGTGGGAGGTTTTTTTTGGTTCTTCACATGGTATTTGTATGGAGTATTTGATGTACATCTTCCTCTTTATAATTGTTATGGGCATGGTTTAAAATTGCGCAAAAAGAGGCACGCCACAACGCAATTTTAAACTTTTAAGCATCAAAGCCTACGTAATGAGAGCTGGCATTGAGGCATACACCTCAAGTTCATTGAGGTGCACCTCGTCTCATGTTTTAGAGGCGTCCGCCTCTTAAAATTAAAAAAAATCATAACATAATATATATCTATTCGGTTCGGCCCCCCACCCCGTGAGTCTTCGGTCATTTCTGAACCGAAACTAGGTTTCTTCTTAGAGCGACATTTTCCCCTCTTCCTGAGTTCCTTCCATTCGACCAACGTCGGCTTCCTTCCATCGTGAGTTTCTCTCGTCACCCGTTGCTTGGAGTTCTCTTCTACCCCGAGGTGGGCTGGAGTCTCCTTCGACCGACCGCTGAAAGCTCTTCTTCTTCATGGTTCCATCTATCACCTTATTGTGAAATACAAGATCAGTCCGTTCTGCCATAAGGACCTCCATAATCTGCTGAGTAAGATTCCACAATAGGTATGTCTGCTCAGTGTCGCTTGATATCGCTCGGTATCGCTAAGTATATGCTCGGTACCACTCGGTACAACAATGCTTGGTACCACTAGGTATATGCTCGATACTGCTTGGTATATTTCCATACAAACGACTTACTAACTCCTCCAGGGGGCAGCGCCCCCTTGGACCCCCGGCTGCTCGGCATATTGTTGTATTCATCATCTTTAGTAATAGTTGTTAGTGTTAGTCTGTTTCTTCATGAGTGCATGCTTTGTATAAGTTTTCTTAATGTAGAATAAGTGAAGCATTATGTTTAGAGGTTTGATATATTACACTAATATATTCTTCTCATAAAGGATGGTCAGAAGTAAGGATAAAGCTGCATCAGGTCATAGAAAAGATCCAGCATGGAAATATAACACTCAGGTGGATGTAAGAGGAAGTGATAAAATATATATTTATCTAAAATGCAAGTACCTGTGACAAAATTGTGATAGGCTTATTATTGGGATATTTTGATTTCACTTCATATCTTGTGCCTTTTTATGTTTTATATTTTTTTTATGCAATCTTTTGATTTTGAGGCTTACGCCTCGCGAACGAAAAACGCCTCAATACCCGATTACACAATTTTAAACATTGGTTATGGGTGATCTTTGCCACCTTTACAAGAAGGTGGGATTATGCTTCTTCACCCTTTTCTGATAATTATACTTAATTTATGTAAATAACATCTTGTGATTGGGAGAGACTATCTTCTCTCTCTTATCCTTGTGCAAATCTTTGTACATGTTCGACAAGGCCATTAAGGTTTCATTTGGGATGAATTTCTTTCTTTTTGATGCAGCTTTTTAGCATACAAAATTTTTGAAAGTAGTTAAAAAGCAGTGGTCAAAAGTTGTCCCAAACGAAGCCTAAATTTCTAAAAAGCATGAAAAGTGCTTAATTGTCTTCTTTGCATCCATTATAAACCCTCTCCTTTTTGTTACCTTCTTGGGATTGTGGCTAAGATCATTTCGTTTAATTTACCTTTTTCTTTCTTCTTAAGCCATTATGCGTAACCTATGCCAGTCGCTCTTGGATTAGTTCTACCTTCTATTCTTGGGTTAGAATTGCAATGTTTTTTCTAGGTGGGGCCACTACAACTCCTCAAGGCCATCATATGGTGAATCTTTTTCTTTTTTAAGAGAGTCAAGATTGTTGTTGCTAAGCTCTTCTTGACTAGTTCTTTAGGGGGAGGTCTTTAGTTGATTTTCTAAAGCTGATTTCTTTCTCTTGAGTGAGAAATGGGCTAACATCATCCCACTTTTTCATCTGGAGGCTTGCCTACAAGGTTATAATAGGGATGGGCTTTTTGGGACTCCTTGATGCGCATGTAATTTTGGGCATTTGTGGTCTCATTATATACTTTGCCTTGCCTACTTAGAAGTCTAAAAAAAAAATAAAATAAAATAAAAAAAACGAGGCCCTCCTAAAAGACAAATTGGACTACATTTTATGAAGTGTTTCATCCTTTTTTACCTCTAGTTTAACCTTTGGGTTGACGGTAAGATCCTTCACCAATTTTTTTAGTGGATGATTGTTTGGTTTAAGAAACTTTCTTTGCATCAAGAAGCTAACGATCACAGAAATTCTTGCAGCAAGAGGGATTCAATGTGATCTTCTGTACTCTCTTTGTAGGACTTCCCTTATGGCCTTGATAAATATCTGTATTTGTTGACCTTGTACTAGTTCTACCTTCTTCTTTTGGCGCATGCATTGTAGAATTACCCGACATTGCATCCTTTGTTCATTAGATCACATCTATCCACTTCACTTAATCATTTCATACAAATTTTATCAGGCTCTGCTTTTCCTACCACACGAATGCTAGGTTGTTTGACAGATGATCTTAGTCTTGGTCCTCAGTTGTTAGTGAGATTCAATTGCACTTTAAGTTTGGTAGAACATAAATTGTTAGTCTTGGGGGTCCATCAGCAAAGCGCTCATCCAACAGTGGTGGGATCTAGCCCTTTGGTTGCTTCATTTGAGTTTGTTTTGGCTCTGTGCTCTAGATGACTTTATGGGTCTAATTTGATTGAGCTTTGGTTACTTTAGTGCTAGTCCAGGGTTGGAGGCAGTTTCACCAGGCTGTAAAATGCTTTTGGTTCATTTTGGTTTGTTTTTTCATTGTCTTTATTAAGCTTCCTGTATGCAGATCTTTTCTACTTTTAATATGATTGGCCTAGCTCAAATTCTTAAAAAAAGAAAGAAAGAAAGAAAGAAAAAGACTTTATTTCTATCTTCTCATATTGAATAACTGCCATTCATTGAATATGAACTATACTTATTGGAACTTACCCCCTACAAAAAAATGGAGCAATTTATTTTCTCATTAATAATCTTATAATTAATGCTTTCTTGATTATTATCATCAATCGATCTTAGTATGACAGGTTTTAGACATACTTAATCATACGAGATATTGCAATTATGGCCCTACATTTTGTCTATAATATTTTATCTTTCTATTGTAGGTCTACAGTGACTTAACTGTTGATTACTTTAAGATGTTCCTGCTGAATGTGCCTGCAGCTGTTATTGCTCTAACCTTGTGAGTTACTCAATTTTTTTTAATATTATGAAAACTGGAGCTTAAATGTCAATCATCTAAATGGTATTTTTATGTTATTATGGAAATCTTTTTTACTCGTTGCTCTATTCTTAAGACTTGATGCGGCTAAGCTTGATGGTAATGAAATGTACTCAGAAAAGTTAAATTTCAGCCAATTAGAGCTGAGTCCCTTCACTGAAGCACTTTAACTTTTAGGGAAAAGGCCATGAAAAGATTTAATAAATGTGGAGAGAAAAAAGTTTCTAACATTCTTCTTTTGCTTGTAGAATCACAAGCCCAGCGATATAAGTGATGAAATATCTTCATATAAGATGCTAATTTCTACCGCTTTTGTTCACTGCAAAGTGATATAAGCGATTTAAAATTAAATAATTTTAATTAAAGTATTTCTTTTAAAGATTTATTACTATTCTTTTATTTCTGAAAATTGGACTTATCTCATCCTATCATTTATTTTTTTCTTATTATTTAAAGATTGTTAACTTCTAAGAGGAGCGACGGGGGCTAAAAAGAAGAGAGGGCTTCGGTACTGTTTGGGTGTGAGAGCAAGGGTTTGCAAGAAAGGGCTAGAACTTGGCGGTTTGCATGTTGCGTATATGATTTCCAGAAATAGAATTTTGATGATAGCAAACACTTCTGTTTCTCTACGACTGCCTTGCCTACTGACTTTTCAGGTCCACAGGATCAAGACTGCAATTTGAACCAGCTTAAGATTGAGTAGACTAGGACTGAGTCAGTTTGTAAACTTTTTCCTTTCTTGAGTCTATTGTAAACGATGTAGTTCCTGATGCTAAGTAACCTTGCACACACACACTTGGGGGAATTTTTTTGTCTGATTTAGAGTTCTCTATTTTGAGGACATCGTCCAAGACGATCCAAATATCGTCTTGGATGATCGGTTAAAAACAGAAACTCTAATTAGGACATCCTTGTTAAGGCAGCCGTCATTAAGCTCATTGTCATGGACAATATTTGTATTGGCCAGAATAATATACTCAAATCAGAAAGAATCAGCCGCCAAATCTATTTATGTATTATTTATTTTTGGATATCGTCCAGGACATCGTCCTGGACGATGCAACACAATTATTCCTAAATTAATCTGATAATTAATGAAAGCAATGAAGGCTTGGTTGATACGATCACATCGTCCTGGACGATCCCAAGATCGTTTGGGACGATCAGTTCAAAAAATCTTAGTTATTCCTGGACGATCACATATCGGACAGCTTCTATTCAGGGTGATGTTCTGAACGATTTTCACGGATTTGAACTAATCGTCCGGGACGATCGTGAGATTGGCCTGAACGATCAAGCTATTTTTCAATTGTCCTGACATCTTTTCAGTGCAATTATCTTGACGATATTCAACGATTTGAACTGATCGTACAGGCTGATATTATATCGTCCAGGACGATATGAACAAATCTCTTCTTATCATCCTACATCATCCAGGTTGATTGAGCTAAAATTGCACTGATCGTACAGGACGATCTCCATATTGTCCTGGACGATAATGTCGGTTTGTTGCAATTAAGAGCTATTCTGAAGCTTTTATATATAAGCTTTCTTAGATCACCCATGGGGTTTCACTAAGTTTGCTCCAAGCAAGGTTCCAAGTTGTCTTCTCTGATCGACATCTCTTGTCATTTGGGGTTCAAGGGAGGTCTACTTCAGCAATCGATCAAGGTTTTCTGCCTGCTTCAGGAGGAAGCAAAAGAAGTCGGGTTCTCTGCCTCATCGGTGTCGGTGGAAATGAGGTTTTGTAAATGCTTCTCCACCTTGCTGTGGGAGAAAAAGGAGAGACACTGAGTTTAGTGCAATACCCGGAGGGCGCCTCCGGGGTGTGGATGTAGGTCAAGTTGACCAAACCACTATAAATCTATATGTTCTTTACTACTTGATACATCATCAAAAAATTATCTTGATCGGGCACGAATCTCGATGCAAAATTGAGTTGGAAACTTCTAAAATTAATTCAGAGACCATCTCAATTCCGATTTCAGCAAACTTAGTCAAACTGAGCGTCTCGGAAATACGAACCCAACGACACCAAGTTCGACCCAATCCGAGCCCAAATGGGTCCATATCATAGACCCGAAGCGCTGTTGGAAGGTTCAAACCACAATTTGAGTTACCAAACAGACTCCGATTTTGACGAGCTTATACTCGAATCGAACGGCTTGACGAGACGAATCCAACGAGCCCAAGATCACTGAATTCCGACATCACTAAGGCCCTCAAATGACCAACGAACGGTACTTGATCGTAGGATTCAATACCGGCTGTCCATTCAACCACTCCCTATTCGCCCCTGATCTCACGCCTATTTATGGGCCATGCCACTCCAGAAAATCTATAAATAGAGCCTTCATTTCTCATGAGAGGGGATCCAAGCAAGACAGAGAAGAAGAGAAGAGAAGGAAGAAGAGAAGGAAGAAGAGAAGGAAGAAGCTCCTCCTCGACGGCCGCCGGACCACTGCCGGACCACCGCAGGAGCACCGCCGGACCACAGCCGGGCCACCACAGGAACCTCGCCGGACCACCGCCTTAAGGCCCGACATTCAGACCCGACGTCCTGCTTAAGGCCCGACATTCAGACCCGACGTCCTGTTGAAGACCAGACGTTTTGCTCAAGGCCCGACGTCCTGCTGAAGGCCTGACGTCCTGCTCAAGCCCGGATTATCAACACCCGAACTTCAAAGCGACATCAAGCCTAACACTCGATTCCTATCAAATAGTTACTGATTGTAAATCTGATCGCCCTTAGAGGGGATTCAGTTCTTTGTAACTGACTCAAAGTCTATTGGATTTATTTCAACTGGGCTAGGCCCCGTGGTTTTTCCCCTTTTTTAAGGGTTTTCCACGTAAAAATCTTGTGTTCTCTGTGTGTGAGCTAGTTATCTGTACAACGTTAAGACGCAGAATTAAATCTCTATCGCCGCGTATTTTCTAGCCCGCAACACTACTGTTTTTCGCATTTATTTTCCGCACTTTGATTTTCGTTGTGGTGAACTTGGTTTGTGTTTTGAGTTTGATTGAAAGATTTTTTAAAAATATCAATTCACTCACTCCTCTTGGTTAGCCTTGAGTTAGTTCATAAGGGCTTAACATCCCTAACAAACTTTCATTGCATTTCTTGTGTGCGAGGGAGAAGAAATGAGGAGATGAAATCGGAGGATTTCTGTGCGTGTGAAGAAGGTGAACCTTTTTTGTTCTTCTCTAGCTTGTTTTTCTTCTCCGAGAAAGACAATCGTATGTGATTGTCACTTGGAAGTCGGGTTTGTGCCGTAAAAACTTATTCCTTTGCAATTTTAAGCTATATGCGGGAAATGCAAGTATATTTCTCTTATTTATATTAGAAAGATAGGTGCCTTGCTCTGCTGCTTTCGGTTTGGGTGTTTCGTTTCCAGTTATCCAATTTTTCTATTTTCTTTTCATGTGATCGGAAGTCTCCTACCATTCTTCTTATAAAGATCTGTTTATATCTTATTGGTCGAATTGATTGGGGTTATTAGCATGTGTTTCTTGTGGCTATTGTAAAGATCTGTTTAAATCTTTGTGGTGGAGTTATTTACTATTTTAAACAAGTTTTATAGTATGGTTCAGCCGAGTGAAGGCTGCTATTGGAAAGTTTGAGCAAATTCTATATATTCAAATCTTGTATTCGTTTTGTCCACATATTTTGAATAAAAGGATGATGAATGAGTTTGTCTCGTGGATGCAGAGTTTGTAAGAACTTGAACCACATAAATTCTTTGTGTTCTTGTTTTTTATTTCTTCATAAATGTTTTTGTAATTTGTTTTTTCATGTTTGTGAAAACAGTAAGTCTCAGCTTACTGTTTTGCCATTGCAATTCAATTTGGTAAAAGTTCAATTTGCAAATAAAATTTAAAACTATGATCAAGCTAAAAGCTGATAAAGGTTAGGTGGTTGAATATATTTTTTCCATTTACCCTCTATAGATTGGTATATTGTGCACCTTGATTAAAAATGAAAATAAAAGAATAAAACATAATGAGTTTACCCAAACTTTTAAGCATAAAAGAATTCAAACTTTACTTACACATGTTTAGTAAACTTAGACAATGTCTAAATTTGCTAAGAGGAACTACCTTAGTAGTCATGTCTACAGGATTGCCATCTGTTGAGATTTTAGTAATCTTTACTACACCTGAATTTATTAAATCATGAATGAAATGATAACATACATTCACATGCTTTGTTCTTTCATGAAAAATTGAATTTTTAAACAAATGCAATGTATTCCGACTATTTGTAAAAACTATAATGACATTGTGAAAAATACCAAGTTCATTGAGCAAACTCTGTAACCATATTGATTCTGTCATTGCCTCTATCATTATAATATACTATGTTTTTTGTTGAAGATAAAGTTACAATTGACTACAAGTGAGATTTCCAATTGACTGGACCACCACAAATCAATAACACATAACCTGTAGTAGATCTTCTTCTATCCAAATCACCTGCAAAATCTGAGTTAAAATATCTTGTAACATCAACAACATCAACACCTGATCTAAAATGTATACCCATATCTAGAGTTCTTTGAATATACCTTAGTAAACATCTAATTGCCTCCTAATGTTCTAATCTTGGATTAGATATAAATATGCTCAATACACTAATAAAGAAAACAATATCTGGCCTAAAATAAATCATAACATATATAAGAGACCCAATGTCACATACTCACATCATAAGGAATTTTTTGCATCTTTTCTTTGTCTTCATATGAATTTGGATACTGAGCTGCAATTAGTTTAAACTGATTCCCAAGAGTCAAACTAACTGCTTTAGAATTTGTCATTGAAAATCTTGTAAGAACATTTTTTAAGATAACTCTTCTGAGATAATTACAATCGTCATTTTTGTGTTCTCCTAAGATTTCCATTCAGAGAATTTTCTTAGCTTCACCTTAAGTCCTTCATATCAAATTTATATTTAGGAATAT